AAGGACCAGTGTAAACCTCTCAGAGGGAAACTATATTGGGAGAACAGTCTGAGAATGATCGTAGCGCACTGGCTTCAGAGATGAAAACCCTTCCAGACATCCCGCAGCACTGATGACCTCATTTACTCTCTGTATTTACTCTAAACAAAACTTAAGGCTTCTCCAAAGATGTCCCGTGCTCTACCTGAGACTGTTGCATCTGCAGTACTGAGCTTTTCCAAGCTCAGATTGATAAAGAACCACCTGAGATCTTTCAAGGTAGAACGATGGAGTGGACTGGCAGTGATTATTGTGAACAACAAAGTTGGCTGTGAGATCTCTGGCATTGGTGTCATCGACGACTTTGCAAACAAAAAGCCTGAGAAGCAGAGCTTTTAAAGAATGAGTGGAGTACTGATGAAGAACAATGTTGCATCAAGTCAAACTCATTCTTCAGGTGAACGGTTTTATATTGTTAAAACACTTAACAGTACAGTATTTTATTGTTTATCTTTTAACTCTTCACTATTATGTTATTCTTATATATTTTTTCGTGAAGTTCAAATTTGTGTGAAAATTTTTTTCTACAATGTCTTTGCTGCTGTAAACACCAGAATTTCCACATTGTGGGAAAATAAAAGGATTTCTATTCTATTCTATTCTATTCTATTCTATTCTATTCTATTCTATTCTATATGTGTTGGAGAAGGTTTATGTTTTCAAATGATGCTTTTGCATATGGCTACATACAATTACAGATTTTTAAGAGCTGATTATTCTACAATCTGGTTTTAGAGAACTTTTTTTTTCCATTATGAAAGAATATGCTTGATATTTAATTGCTTGATTGAATTATTTCTGGTTTGAACAATTTAATGTATTAGTTTTATTTATCAAAGCAATTTATTTTGTTTGTTGTTCTGGTTAAAGGTTATTTTAACAACTTGCTTTTGCAGCTGGAACCAAAATGTATACGTAAGCCACTTTAAAACTGTTTAACAGTTTTTTTTTGTTTTTTTTACTTTTAGTTGCACTAGATTATGCATTGAAATAAAAGACTGTAAAAAGCAATGCCAGGTTTACAATGGGTTAATTATAGCTGTGAATGATCTGATCATTGGCCTGCTGCTTGCAGCAACAGATATTATTGGAAGAAATAGAGGGCCCAAAAATCTAATATTGCTTAGGGCCCAGTGGAGGCTCCCAAAGCTTTTGACAGAATGTATTATGGTCTTAAGGAACCAAAGTCAAATCTTTGGACATAGTTGCAAAAGCTAACTTTGACAAAAAACAGCAATGAGCATCACCAAAGGATTACCACACTCACAGCGAAACACGGTAGCGGTCGCATCATGCTCTGTGGCTACTTTTCTCTTGATTGTAGCAGTGCTTTTGTTCTGTTGAATTTGGTCATGAAAAGCTCTAAATTCCAGTCAGTTTTAATCAAAATCCTTGAGGGTCTACTAGAAAGCTGAAGATGAAGAGAGATTTTTTATTTTTTCAGTGTCAGTGTCTGTAAATCTAAATACAAGTTACATGGCTTCATTAGAAGTATATTTTGGACAGGTTAAGAGCTAAATCTGACAACAGCAAAACCCTTTGGGTAACAGTAGAAATTATTTGTTGGACTTTTACAAGGCAGAGCAACAACTACAATCAAACCCTCTAAATGGAGTTAGAATCCTTATAAAGAAGGCCCAATGATGAAACAATAAAACAATATTTAGATTTAGGGTGTATGAAAAAGATTTGGTAAATACTTTTAGATTCTTTTTTCCCAATTTCTCAACACAGACTTGTTTTTCAGGTAAACTGTCCAGAATATGCAACATGCAAGGTGCAAATCTCTTGAAAATATTTATCATCAGCTGTTTCCCTTCACAAAAATGGAGAATTTAAAAGGGTTGTTAAAACACTTCGTTTGAAGCTGGGAGAAATTATTTCAGGTGGAGAGATCAGGCTGTAATCATATCTGTAAAAAACTGTTATGGGGTAATTTTTTTAATCTCCCTAAAAATATGTCACAGACTTCAGAGAATGGAAAAGAATGAGCTCAGACTTCGTAACCTGGCAGACATAATCAAATCATTGTGCGGAGGGCCGAACTTGCATTAAACGCCAGTCTATACATCATACTGTATATCTAATTTAAGGTTGAGTGGACGGCTCTTTGAAGACGAAGTTTTGAAATCACATTCCAGTTTCCCCTCCCAAACAGCAAATTATGCAGGACGTGTGATTTCGAACTCCGAGTTGGAGCAAATCATTTGCAGACTACTTCATGAGGAGCTTAATAATCTGAGTCGAGGGTTCTGGGATCTGGTTGAAGTATAAACAACGTCCTCATCAATGGGCAATGTAAAGAAAAAAATTATGTTTTTGTGCTGCTCCACCTCAAAAGCATCTACAGATATTATGAGTCCAATAAGAAAGCATAGGAGCGTCTACATCAAAAAAGACCATAATTGGTAACAGTTTGTAAATGTATGTAAGCAAGGTATCATGTAATTACTCCCAGCACAATGGGGATTCTCTGCAGAGCATGCTTGCGTATTAGTTCTCTAACGTCACTGTGGGGCCACTCTTGGAGCCCATCAGATACAGTTTCTAAATACCCAGCCATTACATGTTTTCTTTAACTCTTTAAAACATCTTCCGCCTTACTTCAGCCACAATTACTAAAGGTTATCAAAGGGCATCTATCACCAAACTGTGACCTGAACAAACCCACCCTAACTTCCCTTCCAAAGGTGCCTCAGCGCCTGATTTCTTCCTCATTACAACCCTTAACCCATTTCAGGTTGTTTAAATTAGGCAAGTTTGAAGTCGTCTACCGAGAGCTGCGAGACAGATGATGGGAACGGAGAAGCAGATTTGAAAGATGCTGAATGTAGCTGGCACTTCTTATCTACCACATATTAGCAGCTGAGAAATGGTGTGTGCCATATTCCATTAGCCTGCTGCCGTCCCATCATCGCCTGCCATTCCCTGCAAAAACATGATCCAAATGCAGTCCAGATGTCTCAGCCATCAAGCCTTAATAACTCACTACCCCACATTAATCTTATCATGTGAGTAATGGATTCCTGTCTGATAACATCTCAGCAGGCTTCAAAATATAAGTTCCTTCAGCTGACCAATACTCATTGCCCCCCCTTAATGAGCCTCAAGCCTAACTATTAAATCCCTTTAATTCAAATAAAATACTATCTTTAATTTACCCAAAGAAAATATGTTCTATTATCAGTTTATGTACAATAACTTCTCAACTCTGTTTAATATTATTATCATTCTGTTTTTTTTAGAAAAAGTTGGAGTTCTAAACTGGAAGTGATAAATGGGGAGTATTTTTCATATTTTCCTTGAAATTTCCTTATCTACATCTACATTTTTTTCCACATAACTCAAGCGTGCTCCTTTATCACATCTCTATGATATATGAAGTCTATATTTTCTTAAGACATGTTTTTGTTTCTGCAGTTCGTAAATGCGCTCGGTTGTAAAAAAAAAAAAAAAAAGAAAAGAAAAAAAAAAGACAAATCCCTGATAATTTACATGGTTACACTGCTTTAGTTTGCCTATTTTTGTTGGGTATGTTTTCTTGAACAATGAATATGTGCAGATTTACCACAAGTAAATATCCCCACTGTAGATATCTGGTAAATCAAAAACTAAGCAACCAAACTGGGCTCAAGTAGAATTTACATCCACATGGAGCTAGATAAGTTATCAGGACAGAAAAGCTGGATGAGCCATAACTTATGGAGGAGGAAAGAAGGTAGAGGAGCTGGGTGTAAACAACAAACCCAGCCTAAAACCACAAACTAAGTAGCTTTAATTTCATTTCATTATATTATACTTACGTGATAGTATTTCAAGCCATTTCTATTCATATGACTTTGTTGATATGAGTGGAATTTAATTACGTTTCAAGATGTTACAAGGAATAAGTGCACTTAGCTGCTTTATGGGGCCCCAGTCCAAAGTGTGTTTGGGTGTGCACTAGCAAAAGCACATTTAGATTTCCTCTAAATCTGGGCTAGCAGTTGAATTCAAGTATGCAGGATACCAACCCTTTTTTTTAACCCCTGTAAAAACTACAAAATAAAAGTGGGTCAGAGAAATAACTTTGTGCCTTGGGGGGGAATTTTGTATTTAACTGGATTTGTAAAAACATCCTGAAGCGTTTTTCACATTTTCACAGTGATGTAAGCCTCAAATACTTTCACTGGTGAAAAATGACAAAAGGTGCAACATCTTTAAAGGTAATAACTAGTTTTGTACCGACACTGCACTAAAATGGTGGTATCAGTATCGGTGAGTGCTGACAAATAGGGCACCGATACCATTTTGAGAGCCAAAAGTTTATATAACTATTGTCACCCATTCCAGGTAGGCAATAAAAAGGCAGGCAGCAGCTTGACAAAGCCATGATGGCAATTATTTTTACATCCAAGTAGTATGCAGTTCTTCATATATACACACACATCAATTTCAAACAGATGGTATCGGCCAATACTGCACAGCCAGGTATCGGTATTGGGGACAAAAAATGGCATCGGCGCAACACTAGTAATAACTACTGTATGTAGCACTCAATATGCATTATTGTAGTATGTATCTGTCAAATAGCCTATCACTTTTTGATGTGAAATGTAAAAAAAAAGAAAAGATGAATGATACAAGAATCGATATAAAATTAAAACAAAGATTCTGAATCTCAAAACACAAAATATGCCGCCGTAAGCAACTTAATTTCGTTTTCGTATACACTCGGTGTATACAAAAGGACAATGAAGTTTGTCTAAGTCTAAAATCCAAACTCCAAAGTATAAATCTATAAACTCTATCCATTTCTTTTCAGCTTTAAAATTTTATAACATTTGATAACCTTATTTTGCGAACAGAAATGTTCTTATTGGTTAAGCCTCTTTACTTGGCCCCCTAGACATATCTAGGGGGCCACTGTTAGGTGGTTGGGGGAGTTGTTGTGTCTTTCGTTAACTGTGGTGGTGGTGGTGGGGGGTTCTTTTGTAAGCGCAGGGTGGTGGGGGGACGCTTTCATAAGAGTAGGGTGTGAGGGAGGCTGCTTTCGTAAGGGCAGGGGTTGGAAAGAGGTGGAACTTAAAAAAACAGAAGTCACCTCCAGGATGGACCAGCAGCTCCGCCTCCCATGTTGGGGCTCGTTTTGGTCTTTATGCTTTCTTCCCCTTATACTCATCAGCTATTCACTATATCAACACTCCCCTACCTTAATACACTTTTATTTACATTTCTTAACACAAGATGCTGTATCATCATTTTTCTCTACTTCTACTAATATCGTACTTCACTTAATCACTAACAAATTTTAGTCATATTTAAGTTCTGTGGTGTGGGTGACCAAATATCTGCACAGCGTACAAATAAAGCTGAGCAGAATTAAAGAGGGTAAATACAGGGAAGTCAATATGTCAGTGAATATATATATTTATAATAGTGGGAATGTTTAGAAAGCAAGTTATAATAAAATAAAAACATGGAATCTTACGTCTAATAGGTCACTTATGAAAGGTAGATCAGTAACGTCAAAGACAGCAGATGCCTCAAATGAAGGTTTTATTTAGAGTTCACATTTTGTACCTCTGTGGTCTAAAAAAATGGAAAAAACTTATATTTGTTTTTTTGATGAGGTTTCAATTTGTTATAATCCACAAAATAAGGCTTAAGCTTAATATAAACCATGGCAGACTCAAAATAATTTATAATGTCCCCATATTTAATGTTTTCTCAAGGTACTCCCTTCAGAGTGATTAAGAATTCACATTTCACTGTACGTGCTTTATACTAGAAAAACTTGGCAACAAGGTATTTGCTAGATATGTGAAGCCAAGACTGATTTCCACTCTTAAAGAGACCCTAGTCCTCCAATGTATAATGTTAAACCATGAGGTCCAAAGCCTGTTTACTCCAGAGGCCAAGGTTACACTGTTTTCCCAAGCTGTCCATCCAGAATCAGTCTTCCTCTGAAGAGAGGTGGGCTCCTTCATCGTGGACCTCTCTGTATGCAGCCATGGGGCCACCGTCAGGAGTGTAGCTCCCCAAAGAGCTCTTCAGTCCTTCAGATAGTTTCTGGGCAGCCTGTTTGGCCTGCAGCTCCTGAAAATAAACCCCCCCCAAACAAAAAGACAGCTGACATAAAAAGGCTGGAAACAAAAGACCAGCAGCAAAGCTAGTCGTGTAAAAACCTTCAACTATAAATGATCCAATTTAAGCCAGCAACAGCACACAGGAGTTTGGCCTTGGAGTCCACCCTCTGCCTGTGACAACCTGTGACTCGATGCTGCCCTCTAGAGGCGGGGGAAAGGAACTAGAGCTGACTGTGAAATGGTCATCAAATAACTCCAAAAACTAGAAACTTGCAAAACAATTCCCACCCCTTTTATTTATTTTTTCTGATTTTGTGAAAAATCAACAGAAAGTAGCAAATAATCATTAAGTGGAAGCAAAAGGATGTAATACTTTGCTTTTTTTATCGGCAGTGGCAGCTCCAGAGATTTATCTCAGCAGTTGCTAAAGGGGGCTAAGCATTGAACACAACCTGCTATGAATTATCCTTCTTTTTTTTTTATATACACAGGTAAAAGCAAAACCATAGGTGTGCTCACTACTCTCAATTCTGGAAAAGTCCACTATGAGGTGGATAATAAATATGAATATGTGGGGTTCAGGGATTCAATTAAAACTCATAGTGACATCTATAGAGTATGGTGTAGAATATAAACTTCTAGAATCAATTCACTGTGTTTTATTTCCTCGGATAAAAAAAAAAAATTCAGTGAATTCATTGTGAAATCACCAGCGACATCTAGTGAAGTAGATATAAGGTTATTAAACAGCAGATTATAAATACATGTAGAATAACCTGTAATGAATTAGTTAAATGACATACCCAAAATGATTTTAACTTGTATTTTTCTTGTATTGTGTATAGATTAAGCAAAATGGTGTATATGAAATATTAAAGAAAAAAATATTTCACCAAGAAAATAAAAAACTGAATAGGGAAAAATCTATAAGCAGTAATTGATTGAAATCAGTTTAATATAAAAGCACCAAATTGATCAATTTAGGACATATTTTTATCATGGAAAGCTCTGCAATGGTTACACCAGACCATCGTTCGCCCCACATATTTTCAAGTTAAAGAAAAGTTGAGAAACACCAATTGAATATTATGATAGAGATACAAATACTTTGAAATTACAAGACTGTAAATCACTTATGAAATTATGCCCAAAATGACAGAAAATACATTTAAAGTCATTTTAATGACCCTTAAATAACAATAATCACTTAAATAATGTTTGAAAAATGACAGAATAAGTAATGTTTTCTTAGAATATCATGGTGAGTGCAACTATAGAAGTACTACTAATGTGGCATGTTTTTATGCATTTAAACCTGTTATTTTTTAATTGGAAGTGGTTTAGTTTTGTGAGGAAAATATCCAACAAGCACATGTTTAAGAATATTAACTTTGATGAAAACCCCCTCTGGATCTGCCACAGTTTCTTTTTTAAATGAAAATCAGAAAAAGGACGTCATGCGTTCCTTTAGGCCTTTAACTCTGATATTACCAAGTAAACGACTTGTCTCCACAGCGGGCACTTTAGAGCAGCGTGCTTTTCTGTGAGCGCCAAGGAGGATCTTTACTGAACATGCAGTTGAAACCAGATATCTACATGCACTAAATAAAAACACAAATACACCATTTTCCTCTCAGACAGAGATGCAATCTAAATAGCCGTTTTTTTGTTTGTTTTTGGTTTGTTAGAAATAGGGCTGGGTATTTTCGCCAAAGACCTGAATCAATTTAATTTTGATTAATACCATTCTAAATCGATAAACTTCGATTCAATCTGTTTTTACAATAATAAAAGTGGTTCAACTGTGTTTCAAAATACAGTTTAAACTTGAGATGTGAACAAAACTATCTTCTAAGTGCAAACTTGTTTGTGAAAAGTGAAAAAGTGAAGCCTCACCTGGCAAGCAGACGTGACACAGCAGACATTCATGAGCTGCATTATCTCCACTGCACAAACCATATTTCCAGCGTTGTCATAACAACTACAGGGTGTTTGCTGGTCAGCCCCCATTTGTTAATGTCTTCAGTCAACCTATTGGCTATATTTGCAGCTGTCTGGCTTGAAGTCATCTTGAGTGCATCTTTCCTGCTTATTTGAATGTGAACGTCTTGTGCGTCACTATAAAACTAAACGATCTCATTCCCTAGACATCGATTATGCAAAAATTTAAAGGAATCGATACAAAATCGATGAAATACATTTTTTTACCAGCCCTAGTTAGAAACACTAAAAGTATTTCTTTAAGCTTATTCTGAATAAAGAGAGGCATGTTATTTCTGATAACCTATTCTCTAAATCCCTTGAAGGTGCCATGTTCATCCTTTTAAACACTATGCGTCTCTCCAGCCATTATCCCACTAAAGAAGGAGAATGGTTTTATTTCTCAGAGATAGAAATCTGAAATGTGCATACCAATACAAGAACAAAAGCAAAAGGCCCTAGAGGATGAAGCTAGTGTAAGTGTGTTGTTACGTTTGGAGGTAGATTTCAAGCCTAGCAGCACCATCGAAACTGTGAAATACAGCAGTGGCAGCGTCAAGCTGAAGGGGTTTTTTGCTGCATGAGGGATTTAACTCAACTTTTAGCTCAACTTTATTAATACAGCCCTTTAAAACAACCACAGCTGCTACAAAGCGCTGACCAGTTTCCATTATTTATATCAGCTTAGGACATCCCTAAACAGACACCTAATCTGAGAAATTTGGTGTTAAGAAATTAGTCACTTAAATGTGCTAATAAGGTGTAGCCTCAGTTGTTCCTTTGCCAAATTTGTAAATTTCCACTTATCACCTATTTATGCTACAAAAGCATAAATGTTGTTTAAACTGAGCATTATTTATAACTAAAGTAAAAATAGTGCAAAGAAAACGAAGGCTGCATCTTAACCGACCTGCTGTTTCTTTGTCTGTTCTCTGACGAGTGCAGCCGACTCGTCTAAAGACAGAAGCTGTGCTGGACTGTGATGAAGCGGAGGGAGTTTAGCTGCAGTGATGTCATCCAGGTGCTTCCTGTCACGCTCCCTCCTGGCCTGAGCAGAGAGCGGAGACGCAGTCCCAGAGGCCCGCCCAGGAGACAAAGATCCCAATGGAGAGCCATCATTTCTGTGGGGTAGTCTGGACAATATGGAGGAGGACACGATAACTATTCATTCATTTTGCAGGAGGATTGCATAATATGGGAAAGTGAAACAGTAAGCTCTTACTGATTGGGTTTAAATTTTTGCTTCTTAGTTGCTGCAGAAACCTCTGCTTTTTCTAGAACTGTTATATAGTTGGGTTTTTTAGCTGTCTGTTTTCGAGAAAAATAATTATCTTCCGGTTCGCTGTTCATTTGTTCTTTACAGTCACGAGAACCTTCTTCATACAGTGTAACTCTGTCCAAGGCTTGCACAAGTTCACTTTCTTTGGACTCCATTTTCCCTGCTGTGGAGTCACACTGCATGTCCACAGCGTTGTTTTCCTGTTCCTGTGTATCATCACCTGCAGGACCTTCATTTTCTTCATCTAGGCATGAAGCTTCTGGGGTAAACGGTACAGCACGTTGCTGGCCTGAGAAGGCTTGCTGATACTTGGACTGTAACTGGGCTCTGGCAGCAGACACCAATCTCTGTCTTCTTTCCTCTTCACCTCGCTGTTCAATGGCAAGGCGGACCTTCTCTGCAAACTCTTTGATCTTTTGTCCTTTGTCGGGGAGAGTCCGCAGCAATCTCCTACATAACAAGAAATATTTGTTATTCTGCTTTATCTCAACCCATCAGTCTATATACAAGGATAAGAAAGATTTTAGATATTACATACATAAGGATATTTTTCCTATTTCTACCCATTTTAAAACATAAAAACAGATCTAATTTATAGCAAAGCTTTCTTCATTTGATGGCTTTAAATGTAAACCGTTAGAAAGATGAATAAATTAAAATATGAAATAACATGGATGGATGGATGGACGGATGTATTGATGGACAGACGGAAGGGTGGATGGATTGACTGACAGAAGGATGGATGGATGGATGGATGGATGGATGGATGGATGGACGGACGGAAGGGTGGATGGATTGACGGACAGATGGATTGACGGACGGACGGATGGATGGATGGATTGACGCACAGATGGATTGACGGACGGACGGACGGATGGATGGATTATCCCTAAGGTGTGATGCAAAACTGAACATAAATACATTATAACTTTCCTTTAGAACTCCATCCACCTTTTTAACGAAGGTATATTGTCCCCATTCCTAACGTGGAAAATTCTTTCATCTCTGTCTGCTTCCCTTTTACTAACCTTTAGTATTATGGTTTGTTGTATAGTTGATATGAGCTCATTAATCCATATTTTGTAGAGGCAACAGTTAGAACAGGAGCGGTGGTGATTATTAAAACTATTAAAACTAACTGTTTAATTAGGCCAACCCTAGCAAAGTTTCTATGTAAAGCTGCCGGCCGTCCACTGCTTTACTTACTTGTTAGAAAGGATGTTCTCCTGCCGGAGCAGTAGCTCCTGGAGCTCCTCTATGCTGCGGCTCCTCAGATCTCCAACCTGTCCCTGCCGCTCTGAGGACATCGCTGCTGTTAGCTACTGACAGCTATTACCTAACATCGGATCGGGTTTTGATTCCCATGCCAAGATGTACAGAATATAAAATAGAAAATGTGAGATAGTACAGTTTGGTTTTTTGCCGATAAAAATTCCAAGAAACCGCCTGAGAGTGAAGTTTCACTTCAGTCAACACTGACACATTTGAAAGTAGAGTCCTTTGTCTTCTTCGTGTCAGGAAGTGAAGTGTTCTAGTCAGCTCTAGCGCCCCCTACCGGCAAACACATCCATCCATCCATCCATACGCATGTCTGGAGTGGGGTCGCGAGCGGTCTTCTTCTTCTTTTCCGTTATGGCGGATCGAAAACTACTCTAAGGCGCATACCGCCCCCTAAAGTACATGAGTGTGTAGCAACATTACTTTACATCAAATTCCATTTTTCTATTGTGTATTCTTTAGATAAATAAATAATGCTTTGCTCAATCTGTGAATATCCTTTATATTTGCTTCATTTCCCAATATTCCTTTAAGACTCCATTCTTGTCCTGTCCTTCCAACCATCCTTCTCAATTTCTCCCTTTCATGTTCATAAGTTGTAGAATTCATCAGTAAATGTTCTATATTTTCTTTTTCTCCACATCCTTCACATTTATAATTATTCCCTATTAAATATGAATTTGCATTTAAATAGGTATGACCCACGCTTAATCTGATGATTATTACTTCATACTTACTCTTATTAAGTGATTTACCTTCCCCTGTCCCAAAAGGAATTGTAATGGTTATTGTTCCCTCTGAAGCCCTTTTTGCTAATATATCTGCCTTTTCATTGCCTTTTACACCTTCATGTGCTGGAACCCAACATCACCAAATAGCAATGCCACCCCCTATATAATCTAAATAGACTGTGCTGGAGTTGTAATACTAAATCTTTTCTATCATTTCCTTCTCCCTGAATACTTCTAAAACTGCTTTGGATTCTATATATGTACCAATCTCTGGCTGTCTACAGGCGAGAGGTGGGGTATGCTCTGGATAGGCCGCCACTTCATCACAGGGCAACACACATACATACTAAGTGTTAATTCAAAGGGAAAAGAAGCTTTTTACAGCCTTCTTCCAGCCAAAATTAGTTAGCAGCACTGAGGTCTCCCTGCCTATGTGGATCTTCATTAATTTGAGCAAAAATTGAGGCATTTTTTCTTATATCTGCATACAATTTTTCAAAAACATTCATACATGAAGCCATTTTTGGTTATTTCACATTTTTCTGTGAGCTCATCTTTTTTCACTTATAAAAGTAAGATTGTTTTTGTTTGAAAGTATGAAATACAAACCAAATACAATCACATTGTATTACTCCCACAAAAAGTATGAGAACAAATATTTAAAGTCAAGTCATTTTTCATTCCCCTTTGCATCTAGGTCTAAGCTAAACAGGGTTTTCTCTCTTTTCAGTTTATGAATTTGGATATTACCTCTTACTAAATATGATCATAGCTGTGTTAAAATCAAATAAATCAGCAAATATATCCGCTACCTGATTGCGTCACTTTATCTAAAATACTCACATCTCCTTGAATAAATAGATTTAAAAAAAACCTCAGCGCATTTTTATCTAATTGTGGGTTAGGGTTAGATTTTTGTGCAGTCAACTATACTTTAAGGCTTGCAAAAACAAAAGGAAACACACAGAATTTAAAGAAAGAGCATGTGTGAGTAAGTAGCTAAATTGGTAGTTTACACATACCAAACAAAATGCTTCTTGAAGTTTATTGTACAGCGTGTGGAAAAGTCTTTGTTGTCACTCTTGTAAGAGCAAAGTATTCTTATGCATTGCTCAGGAAGGACTAAGGGAAGGATGAGTAGACCTGAATGAGGCTTGGCTAAAGCACAAAGAAACTGATAAAGCCAGAGGAAAATATAAAAACATATTTAAAAGAAACTCGTACAAATGTGCAATGTCACATCATCACATCATCCACAATAGAGGAGACGAAATACCCTGGTCCCCAAACCTAATCCCTCGTTTGCTCCAAAAAATCGTTTCCCTGAGAGAGGGTAACCTTCCAGTGTCCAACATGCACTGGTACCAGGTCCAGCTTACTGCTGGCAATGTGAACCAAACTCCTGCTCAGCTTGTGTGACAAGATGGCCTCAAGTATAAGTCTCAGACTCAGTACTCCTAGAGCGCCCTCCTCCACAGGGCACCATCAGGGACATGGTTGAATGCCTTCTCCAGGACCACAAACACATGTTGACTGATTGTCCAAACTCCCATGAATCCATAAGCATCCTGCAGAGGGTGTAGAGTTGATACAGTGTTCACCCTGCACTTCCAGAAGCCAAGGTTTAATAATCAGCCAGACTCTCCTCTCTAGAAAACTGGCACATGAGGCTCAACCAGGAGGCTGAGAAGATCCCCCTTTGGTTCACTGTTCTTCTCAAGGGGAACCACTGCCCCTGTCTGCCAGTCCAGACTATGTTGATGGAAATTATTGCAACAGAAACATAACTAAACTATAATTTCCAATCAAAACTAGACTACTGACAGTCAGTCTCAGGGGGGCTGGTGCCTAACTCCAACAGCCTGAGTGCAAAAAGCAAGGTAAGGTCATCAGTATACCTATAGTAAGGCAATGTAGAGGCATCAATAAACCTAATAGTCATGTTTTTGGAGTTTGGGAGGAAGCCACCCATATGTACCCAGGGAGAAGATGCAAAATCCATGCAGAAAGACCCTAAGCCAGAGACCGAACCCATGACCTTACTGCAAGGAAAATTGCGCTACAAACAATCCACCATGCAGCCCTCTGTTTTGTCTTGACATTGTCAACATGTCATAGTTGTTTTCCTAGTCAATGCAGGGGGGGGGGGTCTTTCAGAAAAAGCAGGTGGAGCCTTAACACACAGTGCAACTATTTCATGTATTTTGGTCACAACCGAAACATGTCTATTTGACAACACAAGCATGTTTCATGGCTGAGTCATGTTATTGGAAGCAAGACAAAAAACACAACACCTTTTTTTTTTTTTTTTTTTTTATAAAAGATAAACAACACCTCTCTAACCATTGTTTCCAGTGTGGGGACCTGGAGAAATAACTACAAAGAACTCTACATCTAATTGCACACTGCGGAAAAAGCAATAACGGAAATTAAAAAATAAGATCGTAGAACCTTAAAACCAATTAATTGTAAAAACATGTACAAGCAAATTTATGGATTTGGTAAAATGGTAAATAGCTATTTGAAAGATGAAGGACACATGAGAATAGTTAAACATAGGATATAAGATGATCTATGAATCCATGGCTTGAAGAATTATTTAAACATGTATTTCAGTATGTACGTTAGCAAAGAAATGAAATAATTGGAATAAAATCAGTTAAAGAGTATAACCTGGTGGAATGTATAATCCTCACAATTAACTAGTAAAAAAAAAAAAATGTGACAAGTATGTGGCAATGCTGTTTAGGGCGATTAATGTCTACATGTTTCTTTCTATGCTGTGTGAACAGTGAAACCAGTCTGAAGGTTTCCAGCCTTACAGCCTCAGATTTTCCACAGCTGCATTTCCTGTCCGGATGTTTTCCAGCCACTGAGCCAAAACATTTCTCATTTAGCTCTGCTGACAATGGCCAACACTTTAACCGAGAAGTCACAGCTGTATCCTTTTCAAGCAGTGTCAAAGGTCAGAATCTGTTGAAATAATCTCTTTTCTTTTATTATTGTGATTGCAAAGTTAAAAAAAAAAAATCACGTAAATCATGTTAAACATGATAAAGAATGTATTTGCAATGTATTTATTGTGCAACATGTGAATAATGTCCTTTTTAAAAACACAGGGCTGTTTAGCACTTTAATGCTCCCATATTTAAAAATGCTAACCACTTACCAAAATCACAGGAATCAGCAGACATGCAAGACGTCGTTCGCAATTTAATCATATTTTTTAGTGCACAAAAGATACACCTTTTTTAATATATTGTTGGGCCCGTTTTCCGGGAAAATGGCATGTTGTGGGGACTGGTGCCTGGACTCCACATGAGGAATTGCAGTTTTAGAGTCAGCGGGTATGTTTAGGACTAAGGTGTGAATTGAGTTTAGGTTGGGATCAGTGTAAGGGTTCTGGTTAGGCTATGGAAATTAATGGAAGTCAATGGAAAGGCCCTGCAAAGACAGTGAGGCAAGTTTGTGTGTGTGTTTTTTTAAGATGATATTTGAGGTCATATTGTTGAGCATTTTACTGCACTCGTGCATTACAATTGTTCTTCACTCTTTTGTTTTAATTTAGTTGTTTATCTTAAACATATTTTAATATAAAATGTTTCTAAGAATTCCGCAACAAAAATTTTACCTTAAAATGGCCTCATTTGATACAGGCTACAATAGAATGGGAATGATGGGGGTTAAATGATGAAAACTGTGACCCGACCTATTTATGTAACACACTGCCAGTTCCTGAAACAAGTTGATGTCCTTAATTCAGTTTCCCATACTGTCTAGTATTGCCATTCTGTCTAGTATTGCCCAGGTTGTTATGATGCTTTTGAGTGAAATCTTAACATTGGTCGGATTTAAGACACCAATTATTTTATTTATGTTTTGTGCCGAGTAAAATTCAGAGTCTATGAAGTAAAGAGTTTATTTGTTTATTTAAAATGTATATTGATCCTTCTATGTAAATGCTCATTTTAAATCAGTACCAAAACGGTGTTCACCTCATTTTATCGCCGGATTTAAGGTTGTTTTGGTACATTGTCAAGATAGTCAGGAAAGTTTGTCATCTCCGTCATTTAAAAATATATTGTCATTAGTCACACTAAGTCTTATATGAACTTACACACCAAAGGTGGGAGGTACTGCTGGGGGCTCAGAGAATGGCAGTCACTTTATTATTTAAAAAGTCACAACAAAGCCATAATATTCAAAAAAAAGTCTATAACCCTGTTGTCAAAACATATTTTAGCTCCACCACCATTCACAGACAATAGGGAATACCCACAAAGGCACATTGCAAGTTAATAAATATTATTTACACAGTACGAACATAGCAAAATATATCATTTCATATGTACAAAGCAAATATAAAACATTTATATAAAACAAATAATAACCATTTCAATCCTAAACCATGAAAGATGTTATTGCTCAGTGAGCAATGGGGCGACATTCACTTCATATAACACGTCAGAAAAAAAAAAAAAATTAATTCAGTTAATTACACCACATTGAAATTAAAATGTAAAACATCCTCAATAGTACACTTTTTCTATCATCCCTGTAAGAGAAAACAAGGATTTTAACTATCACCATTGTAATTTTAAAAATATCAAATAAAATTTGAAAGTGTTTTCCAGCACAACATGGTATTTTATTATCAGCTGTAAATTCAATTTACTTCATTTTAGTCCAACTTCCCAACACATGCATTTATTAGCTATGCTTATGGTTAGCCATATAGATTTTAGCAGGAAATTTTGAGACAAGGAGAATTATTTAGTGTGTTTAGTTCAAATGTCCACCCACCGATGTTTGTTTGATCAAAATGATCTCACATTTTTTTTGTGTCATCATCGAAATGAAACTGATAAATGAAAAATGTGTTACATGGTTTATACTGTGTGATAGCTTCATAAATGGGTTAAATAACCATATTGTTTGTGTGACCTGTTTTAAAGAACTTTAGCCACATATATTTTGAATAATAGGCAGTGAGTTTTCACTCCAAATAAGTTTACAGTTCAGACCAAAGTTACCTATAATACTTACAGACTTTAGTTAAATTTAAACACAGTGCTTGTTTCTGATTGGAAAACACACTTCATCAGATAAAATTCATTGTAAAAGGAGATGTCTTTATTTAGAAAACAATTTATTTCTTTACTTTCATAAAAAAATTACATGTTGGCGGTTTTAACAACCCTCTGTATTATAAAAACAAACTTTTTAAACCCTTCTTTAAGTTACTGACCGGCTTTTGCATTTGCATTTTATGTTAACAATTTACCCTTTAAAGTTTTTAATGTTTTAGATTTAAAGATTTTTTGCCATCACTTTAACGGTATGAATGCCTCCACGTACTCTGCATATTGAAGTTCAGATTTAGGCTGGGCCTCTTCAAAACATTCCTCATAATCTTAAAAAAAGATGCTGGTAAAATTATAAGATTACTTCAAATCTAGTAAATCTGCTACCATGAAAGACATAAAGAACACTGAGTCTATCTGTAGATGACTGGAATCAAAAGAGGACTGAGAATTTTTTTTTTTATTATTCAAATCAGAAAAAAAACAAACAATGCAATAAATCAAATAAAATGAAAAAAAAAAATAGCTTCATTATTTCCCAATATGAACCCTTTAAGTCGATGAGTGTTTGTCTTTATGGTTCTGTCCAATCAGTTTCATGAAGGGCGAGTAAACTTGTAATCTTGTTCTTGGTCGAGAAGACGACATGGATGATGAAGTGGACTGTTGTTTACTTTGTGTAGTGTCTGTTTTCGGTTTTGCATCCACCTCATCTGACTTGACGGGACTCAGAACGGGATCAGACTCAGGCGGGTAAACACCATTTACTGCTGCCATGTTGGACTGCAGGAACTGACTATACTGACCAGGAGAATACCTTAATAAACTGTTTTCTAGTCTGCTGGGTGGAGGGTTAGTAGAGCTGAATGTCCTTGGATGGATGGGCTTTGTTAGGCTGAATGATGAATGGTGGAATGAGGAAAGATTTGAAGAAGATGAAGACCATTGTGTGGGTGATGAAGGATCTGTGGGTGAGAGAGGTTGAGGAGGTGATGTTGCATTAATTGGTGATGAAGGCTGGAAAAACGATGAAGGTTCAACGAATGATGTAGGTTGGACAGGTGATGTAGGTTGGACGGGGGATGTAGGTTGGACGGGGGATGTAGGTTGGACAGGTGATGTAGGTCGGACAGGTGATGTAGGTTGGACAGGTGATGTAGGTTGGGTGGAATGAAGATGAACAGGTTCGACAACATTCCTCTTTACTTCGTGTCTGCAGTTGCACAGTCAGACATCAGAATTAGAAACCAGTTTAGAACAAAGAACCAAATGCAACCCTTAGGCAAATCCGCCTGTTGACTCCTACCTGGGGAGCAGATCACAGCCTACTCCTATGTCTCGTCTTTCCAAACTTTCTTGAGGCCTATTCTGTGTGGACATAAAATACTTCAGCTTGTCTTCTAATTCATTATTCTAGGAAAAAGGAAAGAGGAAAGAGCTCCGTCAGATCAGCATCATGCAAAGGACAGCAGTCACTTTACATGGGAAAGGGTGATTTGATAGGAATAGTGATGCAGGGAAAACGTATAGTCATTGCTGAAAGGTCGGGATATCCTGTGCTCATCAGGTCAGCAAAAAAAATTTTGTAGCCATGCAGAAGGATACCGCACCACACCTTCATTTAAACACAGAATACAGGACTTTAAACTTGTCATAGCCTTACCTCACACTCCACTATTGCAATTCTGTCTAAAAGGTCTGAGATAAACATGTCCTTCTGGGCAACTTGAGATCGTAGAGCTTGAACCTGCGCAGAATTACATAATTAGAGCCTTGCTTTGAAATCATCAACAGACTTTTTCTTAATTGCAAAGAAAATCAGCCTCTTTGAAATATGGCATTATGGTCTAATAGCTTTGTCATGTATCCTTTATTTTCACAATATCTGACTAATTAGATTATCTTTTTGACATTTTTATTAAGATCCCTACTTCTCTAGAGCAATGCTAAGTTAATGTCTTTTAAAGTAACAACAATTTTTGATACCTTTGACCCTGTTTATTCAGTTTCAGAAGGCTGTATTAAGGTTTCATTTTTTTTTTTTTTTTTACAAATCTGCTATTTTAGTTTATGCACACCAGCTCACCTACCATACCCTGCTGGAACAAGGTGTAGCAGGATCAACTGTTTGTCTTCAGAATTACATCAGTTTTTCTTTGCACAGTTCAACAATGGAAAAAAAAAACTGAACAGGTTTATCTAATAAAGTAGTATGTTTCTTTTTTGTTTGTTTGTTGTCTATGGCTATCATAAGTAGAAAGTGATTTCTAATGCATGGAGATGAGCTATAAAAAGAGAAAAGAAATTCTCCTCACTTCCTCTATCATTCCTTTGACTTTCCTCTGCTGGCAGAACACCATGTCGTTTAAGTGTTTAATTCTCTCACGAAGTTCCACGGCTTCTTCTTGCAGCTGCTTAGACCTAAAATAAATGGGAGTTAAAATTTAAAGCAGGACTTTCATAAACATTAGGTCTTTATATTGCCTTTCAAAAGCCCACATTTTGATCATCTCTGATAGCTTTTCAATACAGATTATTCTAATGCCTGAGGTAGAGCTAAATAACTTTCCCCAGGATTCTTGAGGAGCCTGAGGCTGTGTCCAGCGAGATATCCTGCAGTGCTTTGTTGCACCAGCAGAGACAATAACTCAAGAAGAAGAGATTACAATGGTTCTTTTTATATCTTTAATTTGTCACAAAAAGATGCTTTAAGAAGTTTTAAAGGTCCTGCTAATTGTCAGTCATTCTACTGATATGTTTACTGAAGACCATCCTACATACTCGTCCCCATTTTTACTTACCCATCTTTTCATTCATAACTTCATACTTCTTTGTTTTACACTCATCTTACTTAAAGTAAGCTTGTATGAGTGATGTGAACAGCAGCTTTTAAACAGAGTGTGCACGAGGTGCTCGTGCATGCTCTTGCACATGTTTAATAGGCGTTCCCTCTTAGGAGCGGATGCAGGGTTGAGCATGTGCATTTTTTTTTTAAGTGGAGAGGGTGGGTCTTTTCAAAAATTTGCAAAAATGTTCCATTATACCTTTAAGCTAGAAAATAAACATCATCTTTGTACTGATTTCATCAAGAATTACCCTACTTTTTGTTATGGAGTATGCAGAGCAGCAGGGCTCAGTGCTGTCATGCAGTTGGCTCCAGTGGGTGCTGGAAAGAGGTTCACTGCTGTAAACTCAGCAAGACCATAGTTTATTTCTGATAAATTTTGTCACAAAAAGTAATTTTAAAAATGTTTCTATGTAAAAAGGGCAAAATTGAAAACCTGATCTGTAAAGTCAGTGGATCAAGATTATAAGCCTAATTTTAAATGTGCTTAAGGAGCAGCAAAGCTCCTTAAGAACTGGGTAGCACTGGGAAACTGGAGTTACTGTAGCCTTAACTCAGCCAGGCTCTGCAAGATTTCCAACCACCTGTTTGGAGCAGCTGAACCTGAATATTAGCATTTATTAGGTATGTGGTAAACACTGCAAGCACTGAATATAAAACAAACTTTTGGGCTGGAATGTTTTGACATTTTAAGTTACAGCAGGTTTCAGTTATAAAGTTTCACCACAATATTTTGATGGAGTAACTGAATAATGATTAACAGACAACTTTCACTTTCACCCATTCTCCTTACTGGGTTTTCATGTAAACCTAACTAAGTCGATTATGATCTCTTTAACTGTTTTATGGTTTTATGCTGAGACCGCTGCAGGAGGAGAGATTGTGGTTTGGATGACTGCAAGCTCTTGGAGATCCTCTTTCGAGTCCTTTAATTGCTGAAATCATCATCTACAACCTATACTTGATATGGATATCTGCTTATAATCAGACATTCAAATGACAAATTCCAAGCACCTTAGGACTGAACTAATAGATGACATAATTTCATTAAAAAAAGGACAAATATGGCGCCACTTAATATGTTTGCAACTGAGGCAAGATGCATAAAATATTTAATGTTAAATAACTATCTCAACTTTTCCTGCTTAAGGATCTAATTAGCTTAATAATGAAAGTAATTAAGCATAACTCTCAACTGCATAACTCTCAAGTGGTTTATCTTTTCTTATTTATCATTTAAAAGAGCAACAGCAAAAATAGTGTATTTCAAAGGGTGTAAACAGAGTGTTATGATTATTCTATATGGGGCTGGGATTAAAGTGTAAAACCAGTTCTGCATTCTTAGCACCGCCACCAGATGGACGGAAAGTGAATCCAGTTTTTTTCTGGGCTGATCCAAATAAATGTCTTGCGACATTTATGGAATAATGAGAACAACACGCTGACAAATTACCCAGCATCACTTTAACTTTAAAAATAAAATGACTGCACGGACTTTTATTGAAAAAGGGACTAATGCAAATTGCAGATTTTTTTTATTTTTAAGAAACCTGGCCAATCAGCACTACTTCCACAGGGAAAAAAAGAATTGAAAACTGTAGAATAAGTAATTAAAGAATAAGCCGTGTCGCATTTTTACCTCTTGGCTGCAGCTGCATCCGTTTTGTCTGTCCGCTCTAACATGCGAATACGCTGCTCATAATCCTGCAGTTTCTGCTGGAGTTGACTCTTCTCCTGTGAATTATTTTAAGTTTTTTTTTTTTTTTTTTTTTTTTTTTTAAGAGGCCAAACAGAAATAACAGTAAAACAGTAAAGCTTGAAAAGGTTGCCTCACTTTCCCCATGCAGCTCAGGAGACGTTCAACTTCAGTGATCCGCTGGTCTTTTTCAGCAATCTGTGACTCTGCTGCTCTCAGTTTCGTTTCTGTTTCCTCCAGTCGCCTCATGTAATCATCAAGTTGGACCTGTGTGAACAGAAAACTTTGATCAATTGATGCAGAATGCCGTTTTTATGGTTATTTCAAGGTAAATTCTTGAGACTGGAACAATGTGATCCAATCAAAGCAGTTACAGTATCTAAAGTATATGAGAATGCCAACCTGTAGTTTTTCTATCTCTTCTCTGTGTTTCTGTTGTTCCCTCAGCAGCTTTTCTTCGTACTCCTTCTGGAGCTTTGCAGAGAGATCCTGCATGGCGCGGGTGTTGGCCTCATGTGAAGATTCAACCTGGACAGCCACAGCACAGCAAATTTAAGACTTCTCTCAGCAAATGGGAACATATTAACCCTGAGCTGGAAGATGCAGTTAAAGATAGTCCTTTGTTATAGAATAAATACTGCCATCCAAGCTTTGATATCATGATAACCTCCTGCAGAAAAACTCTACATGTGCAGCATCTGTGTGTTTGGCAGCTGGCATTTATTGCAAACAATGCTTTACATATTCTCCCATCAGGGTGCTCTGTGAGCTGAGTACCAACTTCTCCCATCAGCTAGAAAACTTGTGAGCACTGCAACTTTGAATCAGTTACAATAGATGTTTAGCAGTCTTTGGGTATGCGTGGATTTGCAGAAACAAGTTCTACCTGAAGTCTCAGTGTTTGGTTTTCAGCCTTTGCTGCAGCCAGCTCCCGCTCCCTGTCCCTGAGCTGCTCCTCCGTTTTTTGGCAGGTACTCCGCAAAGTCTTTACCTCATCTTTTGCGCCTATTCTGTTCTGACAGTTCTCAATGAGGGATTTCTGTGAAGAAAAGGCACATAAATCAGTAACCAGCTGTCCAACAAATAAAAATCCTGACATCCTTTGTGACACTGATTTGTTACCTGCAGGCTGAGGTTTGCAGATATGAGGGAGCTGTTCATCTGATCAAAGTTGTCCATGGCTGCTGTACGGACCTTCACCTCAGATTCAAGACTTTTCCTCTGGGAGTTGGCTGCCTGCAGAAAACATGTTTTTTTTATATATATTATTATTTACAGGATTTATGTAATGAGTTGGACTTGAACAAAGGTTTTTATTTGATCATCTACCCTAATTTCCCGTGAGAGCTTCTCCATTGATTGCTGCATTCCTCCAAACTGGCCGTACATCCTTTCTCTCACCTTCTCTAGTGAGTCTCTCACCTGTTTGCAGAAAGCAAGGACATGCAGACGTTAGGACCAAAACTCCCTTGATTGTGTCCAATCGGGTTGTGCATCATCAAAGCTGGTGTGCTTCTCTGCTGGAGTTCACTCACCTCCCTGATGTACCTCATCTCATCATGAAGGTGGCTGACAGTCCACTCCCTCGCCATCAGCTCCTGCTGTCTGTCCGAGCTTGTCCTCTGCACTACGCCGTACACTTTGGGCCCATGATGCTGCAGCGAGGTCACAGGCACCCCATTGGTTGTGTCTCCGAGGTGCTGAGGGAGACAGGATCAGAGCGGTCAGGTTTCTGCTCCCAACCTCCACTGAGGCTGACTTACACTGTCCCTGAATACATGGTTTAATGTAGGCAGACTCTCTCAGGGTTATGTGTTTGCATATGGATGCACATATGTGCACTTGATTAGGTGTTCTTAGCGATGCTGCTGGTGAGCTTATGAAATAGGAGGTTGATAACAGCTAAAAGGGGTGCAGAGTGCACAGACGGTGTCATGTTTCTGCATCCTAGAACATGAGCTTCTGCCATTTCTGCCTATTGTTCCTCTATCAGCCAACAAAAACAGATGCACAGGAACAGCATGGCACTTAGACGCTGAAATAACTAAATAGCAATAGGGGTTGGTGCAGATAAATTACTGAAGAGTGACTTAGATCCTGTTTCTCTGAATATTTTATATGTTCTTTGAAAGAGAAATTAGTGTGGTACTCATGACTTAAAGTGAGTTGAGTCTAAAATGATTTATTATTCCAGCAGACAGCAATCAAAAATGTCATAGTGTAATATACCTATATGGGAAAACATTTATTGTACTGCATTAAATGCTGTAATGGAAGAGAATAAAAGAACATTGAAAATATCTTTGTGCTGAAAAAAAGGATCTTAAATACATGCTACACTCTTTGCAAGCATTCAGTCTCAAGAACAAAAGTTATCCTCTTTGCATAATCAGAATACAGGTCAAAACTTGGGAGTGAAAACGACGCAGACATTTGGCTACTTGGTAGGAGTGTTTGTCTGAAACTTAGTGTTGTTTTCAGTTTTCGCTGCCAGGAATGGGACACAGAAACCCAACAGCTGACATCCCAGGTAAGGCATTCGGTTTTTTCAGCACACCCAGATTAAATCGCAAAAAATCCACCTACTCTTAATATTTCAACAGCTCAAACAGATGTGCTTTTCCTGTCGTGTTTAATTGTACTGTAGTTAATTAGCTCAACAATCCAATTGACCAAATTTTCTAAGGTACTCCTGGAACCAAAAAGTAAAACTTATTTTATCATTACATTATTATTTTCTTATCTCATACCGTTACAATTGCAATGTTTGAAACAATGAATCTTTAGCCTAATAAACTACTGCCATACCACTGCCATGGTCTCACACTTCAGAGGCCATTCTGAAACCCCTACAGCAGTGGTCTCCAACCCTGTTCCTCAAGATCTACTGTCCTACAGATTTTAGATGCATCCCTGCTTCAACACAGCTGAATCAAATGATTGATTACCTTTTCAAGCCATTCATTTGATTCAGCTGTGTTGAAGCAGGGATGCATTTAAAATCTGTAGGACAGTAGATCTTGAGGACCAGGGTTGGAGACCACTGCCCTACAGTATCTCTTCAAGAAAACACTGAAAGTTCTTGACAAAAAGCCTTTAGATTATCAAAATTGTAACATTTTCAGTAAGTAGATTTTAAACTTTGAGTTATTTTTGGATGTGTGGATGTGTTTTAAATAGAGTTTTAAATGGACTTGCTCCTCCTCCTCTAACTGATTTTATAAGCAAAAAAACTATTACTAGAATAAACAACAGGGGTATGACCAGAGGAGACAGTAATGTTCAGCGGTGTAGGACCAAATTTGGCCTAATGGTTGCATCCTTTAGATGAGCACAGTCATGGGACACACTGCCAGCTCATGTTATGGGTTGTGCAACCTACATAAGTTTTAAAATTTCCTTGAAACATTGGTTGAAGCTAACCAGATGTGCTCACAGTTGATTTGATCAGTTTCCTTGGGCCTGTTAACCTCATTTTATTTATGTTAGTGTCATCTTATCTGTTTGTGTCCACTCTGCTCTCTCCAATAGTGCCTTGTTTAACGTTCACTATTTTTACCTGCCTTAGGACAGCAGATTCAAATTAGCTGTTATGCTAAGTATGGCATATTTACATTGATGCTTTAAGCTTACATGGTGATAAATGTGCATTGTCCTAATTCAAATAAATAAATAAAAAATAATAATAAATCACTAAAAAAATTTCTCTTAAGTCTCAACTAAGGAGAAAAATGTTCAGACTTCAGACTCCTGCGTAATAAATTACCATTTAAAAAACATTTAGATCTCTGCTTCTTCATATGGGGCAACTCAGTCTAAAATAAATAAATGGACACAAAGCAGCTCAGACAAGGTAACCTATATAGAAATACAACTGAGTTGGGTGGGAAATTTATAGGGCTGAAACAATTAATCAGATTAATCATGATTAATCGATTATTGAAATAATTTTCAATCAATTTAGTAATAGATTAATAAAATATGCCTTTAGATGACAGAGCAATCTACTTAGAGCAGTAATAAAATCAAAATTGTAAAGAAAGTAGAGTATATAAACATTTTGCATATTACATTACAAAAAATACTGTCAAAATGCTCTATCCAGAACTCCTCAAGTTGAAAAGTTTTAGTTTCACGTGGTTCTATTTTGTAAAAACTTCCTTAAGGAACCTTTGGCTATCTAATTATTAACTCATTAATAAAAAAAACAACCGAGAGATTAATCGAGTTGCAAAATAATCGTTAGTTGCAGCCTTAGAAATGTCAAATTAAAGATCTTTGAGATGTTTTCATACTTTATTAAGAATGACATCAGAACAGTTGTTCTAGTGTCAGATTAACTGAATGTTAAATTATCAAATAGCTAGCATATTTGTTGTTTTTATCACATAATTTCAGAAAGTTTCTAAACGGTAACAAAAAAATCGGAGCCATCTTCAGATTCAAGCAGATACAGAGTGTGCCTCTAGTTCATGTTGTTTCTACCTGCTGAGGCGACTCCATGCCAGCTGGACTTTCTCGGTGGATCAGCCCGTTCTTCTTCTTCCATGTTTCCTTGATGTGACTCTCACTCTGTGGAAAGAACCATTTAAAACATCATAAAAACAAATATTTTTCCCTACTTTCCACTTTTGTTGTCATTTTGATCAAAGTACATTTTTTGTTAAGACTGTTTCAAGAGAAACAAATGTTTACTATGGTGTCACTAAATGCCATCGCTGGTCACATCAATAACTAAAGTTGTTTATGCTCGCATTTATGAATTTTATAGTTTGACGATCCTTAAATTATGTAGTGTATAACATAAAGAAAATATTGTTTTGATTTGAAGTTTGAGAAACTTAGATCGACCTTAGGGACAGTTCAGGTTTTTGGACATGTAATATGTTTTGGACATCAATATTATTTTCTCGATCTTCCATTTTGATAAACTAACGGAAAATTGTCTACTTGTTTACAGCATCTGAGATGAAGGGCTGTGTCACGAGCTTGAGAAGGTGTAGATGCTATAGTTAAATAAACATATAACTACAGCATATACATACATATGCTGTAGTTTTATATATATACTGAGGATTCCTAGAAAAGATTAAAACAGAACTGACAAAGGCTCCTGGAAAGATGTCGAAACGGTTTCAGAAAAAACTGAGTGAACGTCTAGTTGACTGTTTTTAATGGTTGCAATGGCCCGGATGACTGAGAATATACACAGGAAACTACTACAATAATGTCAGCCCTATTTTCAATTAAACTTATTTTCAAAGTACTTAAAGATAGCTACTAGTTGAAACCAGTCCCATTCACCTCACAATAACGTCTACAAACAATTCCACACTAGTTCCCATCCCAGACGTAAGTATTGGTTATAAAAATTACCAATGATCTCCTGATCGCAACCGAACCCAATTTACCTTCCATCTTCATAATTCTTTATCTAACTCCATTGTTTGATACCATTTCTACTGCTCTACATCTTAAAGGATTATCCTTGCTTGGTATCACTCACTCCCCCTTCTCTACATTCTGCATTTTTAATTAAGTTTATGTCGTTTAAGTCCCTCAGTTCTGCTGTCACATCTGCATGCCTCGGGGCTCTTTCCTAGGACTTTGCCTCTTCACCACCTGAATTTAACATTCATATTTTTTGCTATATACCCAATTCTACGTATCCAGTAAATCAAATTATATATTTTCACCCTCTTCCTTTACCTCTTCTTTGTTTTAAATAATATCGTATTACTCTTTTAACTTCAGTCAGCATTATCCAAAGTAGAAACTCTCCACTAGCATCTCCATTGTCTGCACAGTGTGTCATATTTAATAGCTCCCTATTTTTTATCTCTCACAATAACATCCCTTGTTCCGCATATTTTCATCAACTAGCTATTAATGGTCTTCATCCTTACTCCCCCTCAGTTCCCGCTCACAGCCTTGTTGTGGGACTTATTGTTTTACGACAGACTCCCAGCCCCAAAACAGTATCGCTGGATCCCAGTCACACTCAGAACAATTTTTGAAATCCTTCTGTTTGTATTCAATGTCATCTACAACCTCATTCTACCCATCATATCTCCTTTATGTTATCCACTGCACTGTTTTCCCTTTAGCACCATAAAGAGCAGAACTTTCTCTGTTCCTTAACTTTCCAACTCACACCAAGCATCTATAATAGCAACACTTTTCAAACTTCAACACATTTAAATATCGAGCTGTTCCAAACTGCTTGCTCCTTGTAATTGCAGTGCCCCATATAGCCTAATTGATCATACTGTCTGCTTTAATAAAAGAAATTGTCACAGGGTGTGGCAGCATCATTTTATGGGGACTTTTTAAATATCTTCATAGAGAGAGATGGATTGCACTAAATACAGAGTATTCCTAGAAGTTGAAGATAAATTCATAACACACATTAGCAACGCTTCATGCTCACCTCATGTCGAACCAAACAAAAGCTATTGAAGATTGAGGTTGAAATGTGGAAAAATGGGAAAAGGTTGAATAGGATAGGAATACTTTAGCAAGGCTCTGTGAATTAAGGAAACTCACAGGAAACTGTGTGTTAAATTACCCTTACAAGCAGATATAGAGATTGGAATCAGCCATAGCTGCTTTAGTGTGAAAATAAAAAAAATAACCGGAAGTGAAGAGGCTTTTAAAACTCTGATGGGTTTCATGCTCTTTAAATGCATCTACAAAGTATTTTAATACTATAGGTCGTCATTTGTCTTAAGAAGAGCTGAAAGAATAAAAACATACTAACAAGTATTTGGAGAAGGAGGCGACAATCTCACAGAGATAAGAACGAGGGCGAACAAGAACAAAGGCGCCAGTGTCTCTTGGAAGGAGCAGGGCCTCACATTTCACCACCACTTCATCTACAGAGAACATGTTGTTGAAAAACGGCAAAGGCACGTTGATTGGTGGGAATGTAAATTCCAGCACGTGATAGGGAGAAACAAACATCTTTATGATTAAATAGCTCACATGCAGTACTTTATTTGCCATCTAACATCTTTGCTTTGATCCCTGGATAATCTGGGTAAGGTGAAGATCACATGACTGGTCACTGAATGAGAAAGCTTCTGGTTTCCAACAGAAACAATCAAGTTGCCTTTGACGTCACAACACAGAAGCCCTCTGATGAGTCAAACCTTAACTCTGCAGGTTCAGCAACAATTTACGTGCAGCTGCCTCGCTCTGTGCCGTATTCACGATGCAAAAGATCACAATGTGACAGGAATGGATTGTGTCCACGATGAGTCAAGTTGTGGGCCACGCCCCTTCTAATTTTACAACATAAACCTGCTTCAGCCTTTGTCTCTGTCAAAACATTGGACCTCCTACTAGCAGAGTATTTTGGTCATTTCCTTCCTCCTTGATTAACTTCATAACTGCCTTGTATCACAAACAGACAGACCTTCATTTGAACTCCCTGCTGATTAGGCCAAAGATCATTGATAAAAGTGAAAAGAAACATGAAGGACGTTTGACACTGTGAAGGAATGCAGAATAATTAAAGCCTATGAGCAAATACCTGCAGGTCAAGAAACTGCTTTTGTTTTGTTTTCATCTGTTTTATATCTGCTGGAACCTGAGAGTTATTTTGTGAAATCTTTATGTCCTAAAAACTCATTTAGTTGACCTGGATTTCTTCTCAAACAGTCACTTCTTTTTAGAGTCAGCTTTTTTTAAATCTAAAATGAAACAGACACATTTATTAAATTTTTAGCACCTACAGGATAAAGAAAACTTGAGTTACATCTGTGTTATCGTGTGTTATATTAAAAAACTACAGCCAACAGCAGTGCTTACTGATCCTTGGTGGAGTGATCACTCATGAAAACAGACGTCCTGTTCTCAGACCTGCTGATGTTTGACGAGCTGACGCCACATTTGTCGGTGTGCCAGAGTTACCACATCATTAAAGACACCAAGGCACACATCAGTGCAGAGTACATGTGTTTCCCTCCATACTATGTTTCCTGGTGTCTGTCCTTTTTTCCCCTCCTGCCTTCTCAGAAATTAAGCTACAGGAAAGAACCCCCCAATTTTAAAATGCATTTGCTTCATTCTTCCAGCTTTCCTTACCCAGTACATCTGTGCATTTGTGTCTCCCACCTGTTTTTTTCTAAAAATAATGGATTTTAACTATAAATGATATAAAAACACATTCAAACCAACTGACATCAGTTAAAACGGGTAGGTAAAAGGGATCATTTATAACCTGTTTGCTGTGATTACCTCACTATTACATACCGACTTCAAACAAAAAAAGCTTACCAAACATTAGCAGTTGACTACTAGTGGACCCTTACTTACATTTTGGTGCACAGCTTCCCTTACTGTTTTAAAAAATATATATTTTTAGAAATGTGCAGGCAAAAATCTGACTGCATCCTATTTAATATAACAGTATAGATCACTTCACCAGCAGCGGTATAAACGCATCACTCCGTTTTGGGTTTAGACGATCTGTTTGACCCAGTAGTAGTTGATACCCAAAGGAATTTTTCACAGATTTTTTTTCTTTTTTATGTAAAATGCATTGAGGTGAAAAGCCTGACTTTACAGGCCTAGACAGTCCAAACCTAACTTGATTTTATTTTTTGTTTTTCAAACAGATTTAAATAGGTGTTTTTTAATAAAATTTTAAATATCAACGCTGTTTTTTTTTTGTTCTTAAAATAAAAAAATCCTGGTTTCATTGTGATTAACCTAATAATATGTACTGTACAAAGATGTTATTTTATAAACTGTTCACTCCCACATCCAGAGTCAATATTAAGTTCAGGTGTTTCAGCCGTTACCATGGTGGCAGGAAGGCTGCCAATTAAAACATCTGTAGAGGATGCCAAAAAGCCAACTAAATATAAATAGCCAACTCCTGGTTGCACAATAACAAAGTTTTAATAATAAAGTTGTGAGTAACTTGATTCAGTTGATGCAGTCCTCCAAACTTCATGTTTTTCTCAGATTGAAGGACAGTGAACTGACATTTGAGTGTCAGGCCGATGCAGTTTGTATAAGAGCCCACCATTAGAGGATGCATTTCCTCCAGAATACTGAGGACCAAAATAATGTTGAAACATCATTGGGTTACATTTAAATGATGACAGTATGTAGACATTTAAGTCTAGATTGGTTTCCAAAGCCCAAATAGTCTTGTCAGATTATAGCCATCCTCTACACACCCAGTTTAATCTCCTCCCTTCAGGCAGGACATATTCTCTAACTTTAAAACAAATAGAATATGGAACTCCTTTATCCCTACAGCCATTGATTTTTTTTGACAATCTATTACATTTATCTCCCAAATCAAGACCAAAATCTAACTGAAGCAGATTGACTTTACTTGTGTCTCAGGACTCAGATCAGGACTCTTCCGCCAAGAAAAAGTTTAAATTGAAAATAATGCCATCATAAAACATCTTCCTCTGATCAGCCTTAGCTTTCATTAAGTTTTTAATGTATATTGGCAACAAATAAATGTTCTTATTTGTTACACAATGCACATCTTCTGAGAAGCTTTGTGGGTTCTGCATTGTTGCCTTTCCTGTTTGGCTGAGCTTCTGCAAGGCCTGTTGATTTACAAAAACTGGGATGTGCAAAACCAGCAAGACAAAAAAAAAGAAGCATTGATTTAAGAAAATATAGGGAAAGGTTATTCGTTTTAATTAACAGAGTACTGTTCTGAGAAATGTTACAATTTTTTTACATTTGGGTAAAAATAAGTGCTGGATTGAATCAACTTACAATAAGGTTATTAATTTATCATTATGAAGGGAGATTGGTTATTTGAGAGCTTTACATGATTATTCGAAAAATCTTTTTCCCTTAAAGTACAGAAATAGAATCTTCCATTGTCATTGTCCCACTCTTCCAGAGGAAAAGGGAGATTATTGAAGCATATCTGAGTGGAGGTGTGGCAGCAAGATGACCACCACGCTACCAGGCCAAGGTTGACACAAACCATACACTCAGGCTGCTGCATGGGTGAAAAAAAGTAAAAGTCTCATGAGAGCCAAAAACAAGAAAAAGGAAAGTTTTCACTTCTCACGCTCTCACTGACTTAGGACCAGATCCGCAACACAAACAAAGGCTGTTCAAGAGCCACCTAAGGCAAACACCCACACAGCCTGCCGCCATCATAATTCACACAGTTACCTTTAAAAATGTTTTAAACTTTAAAGCAAATGTTTCTATTTCCTGGTTCAACTGATCTGGGTTTTGAATATTTTCTCCTGGATAAACCCATCTTGCGGCACGTTCTGACTTTATCTCTGTAGTAAATGTGAAACAGCTGTTAGTGTATTATCAAATACACACGCCCGTCTTCGGTCACAGTTGCATAACTGGACCAGATGATAAAAGGCATAAATCTCAGAAGCTCCGACATCTTTGTTTTAATGCTTTAGTACCACTATGTGACTAAAGTAAAAGTATCCTAGAGTAAAATAGGATGAGGGACTTTCATTTAATTGAGCTAAAACTGTCAAAACAGGGCTGTTTTGAAAGGCTCGTAGGGACCAGCATGGCTTATTTAGGAATTTCACTGAGAGAGACGCCAGACTCACTGTGTCTGCAGATTTTTCCTCCTTGTTTTCACTATTTCCTGCGAGCAGAGTTAGCCTGAGAATCCTCCTCTGGAAAAGCAAAAACAAACAAAAGCAATCATTGTCATGACAAAACGTACATTTGTTCTAAAAGGTCTCTAAACAAGAAGGTAATAGAGGTCCCCAACCATTCACATTCACCACCATCTCAGCTGTTTATTTATAGACAATGGACAGCAAACAACATTTATGCAAATTATCTGAAACTGTAAAAGGGCAACATCTTTCACACCATGTGCATTACAGTAAATTCCTTGTTGGGGTTCATTTCTAAGCAGAAAGTTATAGCATTTAATCCTGTTTATTTCTGTGATGAAGGTAATTATGCATTGTTTCATGTATAAATGAAAAAGCAGAGAACAAAGGCCTGTTTCATTAGAGAGCTTTTCAAATAAACATGACATCCCTCCCTGCTGCTCACTGGGTTCCTATCCTACAGCAAACTATAATCCACTGACTGAGAGAATGTAAATGTTAGGCGAGAAACTATGAGAGAGTTGAGAGAAGGGAGGAGAACGACTGCAAACTTGGAGAAAAAGAGTTGGGTTTCATCGCCTTGGGATGTCTTACCTCACTTGAAGGCTTTGCAGGGTCCTCTGTGGTGGTGGTGGTGGAAACCGTAGGTCTTGAGCCGTAGCGAAGCATGTCTCCTTTTCTACCCAGTCTGTGCCTGTCTTCGTCTCCTTCTCTCCAGCCCCCACTCTCTCCCACCCTTCCTCTCCTTCTTCTTCCTGAGTTTTGCTCAGGCTTTCAGACCGACCATCTGCCCCCGGCTCCAGGCAGGGAAGAGGAGGGAAATTCCACTCAGTCAAGCCTACAGCTTTGGCTGGAGGTGGTGCTGGGAGTCCACAGGGCCCTGGGGTTCAAAGGTCCCTTACCTTTCTGTCAGTCAGTGACTAGACCGGATCCAGCCTTTACTCACTGCAACATGAGCACATCTGTCTTCATATCTCATTCTCTGGGTAAGAGTCTTACCGGCTGGCAGCAGGGTTGTCAGTCACCTCCCCTTCTTCTATCTGGCACTGAGTTCCCATCAGACCTGTCGGGCCACATTTCACCTGCCTCCGTCTGCTGCGTTTCTCCTGCCCTGAGAGCTGGACTTTCACAGGGCGGGTCCACCTCCCCGGGCTGGGACAGGTGGAGCACCTCTTATCAAATAGGAGTGGCTGCAGTCCGGAAAACAGACTTCAACATTAAGAGCTCAGTTTCATATGATATATTCATTTGAGTTGCACAATTATAACAAAATGTAGCCCTATTTTTTCAACTAATCAGTTATTTTTATTTATATAGCATCAATTTTCACCAACTATCTCAACTCGCTTCTTAGACAGACAGGCTCAGTTTATATCAGAAAGAATACAAAAACATCAGTCTTAGACATGTCAAACATTATTCACAAATTTTTCTTAACTCACATCTATTCCAATCTAATCCAGATAATTTAACATGTTCTAGGTCAGGTTAAAAGTAATCCTCCACAGCATGTTTGCTCTAACTGGGGAAATAACTACCGTAACATAGGGTCGACCAGCATGAGTGCAGTCTTGAATGCAATAGAAAATCTATGGCTGGAGCTATAGATTAGGGTGATGGCAAAGAGGCCTTCCAACTCCAGAGACTTGTTATGGTTGAGGATTACCATGCAGCCACAGATTATTTGGATTGATAACTTTCAAAATATTATTTTTCTAAATATTAAAATAAATCACAGATTATATAATCCTTTTACATTGTTTTATTGTACTTTAGGAGTTGCCAGTCTCATCTGCTGCATGCCAGATACAAAGTATAAATCTAAATCTACCAGTGTGCATTACTTAATTGAGGCCTTAGTGTTTTAAATAAAGCCCAGCTAAATGCATGATTCATTGACTTTACAGCAAATCTGAGTAAGCATTTTCCCTTCGCTCAGTAATCAATAAACCGTACTTCCCTTAGAGAAATGCTCCAAGTTTGAAGTTAAAGTATTCTCTGAGTATGTTTTCTTTCATTCAACTCAGTTTTATAATTTAATTTCATTTAAGAGGAAAATATCAAAATCTTACTTGTATTTTTGAACAAAAATGATGCTTCTTCACATTTATTACCTAATTTTTCCTCAAATGTAAAAGCTTATATTGATGACTTATTACCATCAGAGTGCCTATATCTCAGCTCCCCCTTTAATCAAGGTTTTAACTGCATCATTAACACATGAATGAGATATTGAGATGTAATCAAAGCAACAAGTGATTGCTTTTCATCTTTTCAGTGCATTTACCTTTTAAACTTTTAAGCTACTTTTTATTTTACTATTTAATCTAAGTTATCTAAAAGCATTTTATTTCTCTTTTAAAGGGGTAAACATGTCCGAAATGTGTTTCCATCATAGACTCAGGCAGGATTCTGTGCTTGAAGAGTGCCTAGCTTATAAATAATTGATACTGCTGACAGTGGATATTGATGAAAAGGATCACAGCCATTATTCTTTAATGATATTTATACCTGCTACCTTGCCAACAACCGTTCGCCTGGTGTTTTAGCTGTTTACACCACATCATGCTCTCAGTTATCTTAGCAGAGGGAGAGGGCAGTCACACTGATCCCGTTCTACCTGTGAATGGCCTGCAGTCACTCCCTTTTCAATGAAAGAACACACAGAGCCGCTGAAGAATGGGGAAGGGTTTCAGAAGACTAGAGTTGTCCAACAAGAGCTTGTTTAGCTGCTTGTCAAAACTGACTGTCGGTACCGGAATACAGCATGTTATTACAAGCGAGTGAAAGGAAAATCTGTAGATTGTTAATCAGTAACCAGACATCAAACAAATGCTGTTTTTTTATTTTACAAATGGAACCAGTGAGCCGGTCACTGACCCAAACATAGGTCCAGCTTTAACATCATGCGGGCTTCTTCTCTCAAAAATCTGTCATTTTTCCCTTCTTGTCAATGTTTACACTCTCATTTTTCATGATGAGACAGCAACGCAGCATTGGTTTGAATCCAATGTGGTAGGATAGGAGTGTTTACACTGTTACACCCATAAAACTCAACTACAACACAAGTCATGCCAACAAGCGGAGATACGTGACCTTTTTCTGAAATGCTTTAAATAACCGTCTTCAACTGATACAGATGCATACTTTTATACAAGTCTGTTTAAAATTGAAATAAATCGTTTATTTCACAGTAGCATTTAGGAAGCTGTGGTTTCACAGTTACTTTTTAGAACATTTAATATTTTCAACTGTCAGACAAATTGCTGGAAACCAGTTATTGTTTACTTTTCTTTCCAGTTTACTGGTTGGTAAGGTAATAAAAAAGTAATGGCTTAAATACTTCAATCCTACTCACATATTAGAGGACCATTATGTGCAGCCTCTCAGTGTTTAATGTCTGAATAAAAGGAGTTAAAAAAAGAGCTGTCTGCTTTTTTAGAGCTTTTCTACCCCTTTAACATAATAATAATTGCAGGCCCACAAACCCAGGCTGCTAATGCAAAGTTAGGCAACCAGCAGAAGCCTTCTTGTAAGCATCGATGTTGTGGGATCTTAAAGTTTTTCTGATGCATTTATTGAGAAATTTTCTAAGTTCAAGCAAAGCCTTAACATTTACTGTGCGAAATGTAAGGATGTGTGGAGTTCACCCTGGCCTAAAAAAATAACAAATAATAATAAAAAAAGCCTCATTGTTGGTTGTTAAAGATGTCTTAATCCCAAAAGTGTGCAATTGAGTAGGGGAATTTTAAGAAATGTGCATGTATATCTGTGCATTAAAACACCCCAGGCTAATAATATAAATTAATGGGGAAAAGAGGAAGACACAGAATAGATTATGGTTATTAAGTTTTTTGGGAAAATTAATTAAAATTATGGATGCTTTGTTCATTTTAAACCAGATGTAACTTAAACCTGCCTTTAAATTTGGCTTTTGTATTATTTGCTCACAAAAGTAATCCAAATCTGACGCAGCCTCTTTGTCTTCTTTTTATTTTTGCTATATTTTATCAACCTTGAATTTTTTTCTAATGATATCATGAAATCGCAACTTAATAGCAGATTTGTTATTAAATCCAGTTATTTTATTGGAGGTTAAAATTAGATCTAATTGTCAAAAAGAAAAAAAATAATTGTAAAGTGTTTAATTTTGCTGGATTTTTAGGCATATAACCCATGCACAGCTATAGAACTATCTGAAAAAAATAAAGCCTGCATTATGGTGCAGTTTGTAGTAGTGTTGCCTTGCAGGAGAAATGTCCTGGGTTCAATACCTGGCCTGGAGTGTTTCTGCATGTTCTCTCTGGGTACTCTGGCTCCACCCTTCAGTCCAAAAACATAACTGCTGGAGAAAGATACCAGCCGTCTGTGAACCTCATAAGTATCAGAAAATGGGTGGGTCAAAACAATGATGTCATATCACTTCCTATAATATAAATATGTATGCTATATTCCAGCAAGTTCTGTACTGGCAGAAAACCAATGTCTTATGGGATAAATCCTCTAAACTTCTTTTATTCAGATCCTAGATGACTGTACAAATGTATGATTTGTCTAAAACATTTGCATTTATATACTTACACAAGAAGCATTTTGATGCAATAAGGAAATTCACTTCCTATCAGTGATAACTTAGCATTATAAACAAAGAAGGATATTCGGTATAGCTTCCTTTTCAATGCAGCCCTGCAGCTCTTAGCTCTTATTGAATTATGTCACTTTGAGACGTAAAGGTTTTTTATGATTTATTACTAAGCTTTTCACTAAATATAAGAAAATAATGATCATTTAAAAAAAATAAGAAAATATCATATGATGTAATTTTATTGCAGCATAGGTTTAATGTAAATTATTGCTATAAAAACTGATACAGTAAGTTGGTTGATAACATTTCGTTCAGTTAAAAAGCTATGTGCTTACATGCATACCTGCATGCACAAAGCTTTTCTCCAGAGGAAATATTTGCATTTGTTATCTTGTTAAATCAACCTCAACATTAAACATGATTTTAATAGTTTATAAGATAAAGTTCAAACATATTTTTTGTTGCAAATTTGTCTAGAATAAAGTCCAGTTGATACGTGCAGCTGAGGATCTCTCTGCCCCACTTGCGAGGTGAGTTTATTGTTCACCGCAGCCTGCAGGCCACAAAGCAGGTGTTTGATCTGTTCCCCTGCAAGGAGCTGTTTGTTTGGAGTACATTTAGTTACTGAAGCCCATGACAATAGCTTATTCTTGGACCTTTAAAGATTTCAGTTTTCAAAAACTGCCAGAAAAAAAAGCTTACACAGATATATGTGTTGAACATGCAAAGTACACAGTGTTGTTTTCCCTGGAAATTAAAATGCAAAACGAAGGCTAGTGTTTATTCATGTATCGCATCAAAGTTCAGTCAGTGCTGGGCGGTCCAGTGTATTACCTGGTTTCTATTTCCTCTTGCTCTATTCAGAAGCTGTGCCAATTCAGTCTAAGGTCAAATATACTATTAACTATATACTTATACAGTTTGTTTTCTATTTGCTTTGCAGCCCTACACTGGCCATACATTAAAGTTGCTGTATGCGTCTGTCTGTGTCGGAGAGGATAGGAGCAGCACACGAAAACCTGTTGAAATGGGTTAAAAGGGGCTGAGATAGGAAGCAAACTGGAAAAACAAAAATTCAAATTGATAGAACTTGTAGCAAAAACTGTTACATTCCTGCTTCACTGAAGCTTAATGAAGTTAATATAAAACCTTTATAAATATATATATATACTTGTTTAATGCATGTTGAAATAAAAAATAGTTTAAAAAAAAAAGTTAGCGAGGTGCCACATCTAATTATAAGCAGAAAGAAAAATATCCTTAAATATTTGCATTAATATAAGCTACCCATGTAAAAACATTTGTTCTTCTATTTCAATGGAAAAACTCAGTGCCAACACAAAGGTCAAGATAAGAACTCCATAAATCAATAACACACTGATTAAGCACTCAATCCATCATCTACCCTGACCTTTAAGATAAATACTCTTATTCTTTTATCTATTATCTCCAACAAGTCACCACAGCTAAACACTCACTGG